TGTGTGTGTGTGTGTGTGTGTGTGTGTGTGTGTGTGTGTGTGTGGTGTCAAGGTTCTTCCTTTCCATCATGTGGGTCCTAGGGATTGAACTCAGTTCACCAGGCTTGGCAGCAAGCTTCTTGACTCACTGAGCCACCTTGCTGACCCAGAAACATTTGAAAAACAGTCTTCCCTTTTTCTCTTCCTCCACTGAAGAGAGAAACGAGACCATTCAAGTCTACCTGGAAACGATATCTTTTTGAAGTCAGAGCATGTAAACAGAAGGGTCACCTACATCTTATGCCTAGACCTTGAGTGTTACAAATTTCAAATTGCCTTTCCGTGGTGAAGGCTGGTTTGTTTTCTCCCCCTTGTAAACATCCAAGGTTAACTATGCATGTGCATGGATAATCTAGGCAATGGACTTCTGCTTATTAGAATAATTTATAAAGTCTGCCTGGTGCATTCTCCTCCGCTGTCAATTACATGCCTCAAGGGTGGAGCTCAAGGACGATTTGACAGAAAGGTGTCTATCCGCTGATGTCCCCCTGTACCCAGCCCTGAAATGACTTTGAGAGATCCCTTGAGCAGACACAGGGCACACTTTATGGAGACAACCCAAGACTTCCACTGGCTAGACAAATTTCTCTCCATTGTTTCTACATGTTTCTGTCAACTAACATAATTTTTCTATGTCCTGTTAGCATCCATTTTCTTATCTGTCAACTAGGGAATGTGATAATAAGCTTAGAAGTATTTAAGAGGACTTTTACATTTTGATGGCAACCTCTATGTGAAAGCATTAAAGTAACGGCTATTTCAGACTTTCCTTTAGCATGGAATTTGGGGTACAAGCTGTTTCACTTTTGACTTTATTAGTATCACACTTGTCTTTATTGTCCAGATGACTGTGAGCAAGCCATTGAGTATCCCCATCAATGTTCCTAAGACATGGACCTTGTCGTGGCTTACCTGTCTGCTCCAAGGTCAGTTCCTTCTGTTCTCAGAGTTCTAGACACATCAGCATTTCCCAAGTTTGAAAGAAGCCGCTTCCATTGAGGTCTTGTGTATACGTTCTCTGTTGACTCAGTTTTTGTTATGGGCGTCTCTACCATCCTGTCCTTTGTCCTTGTCCTCTGGGCAGATAGCCTGCATGCATCTTTGTATATGGCATGACAATTGCCTGTCCTTCCTGAAAGCAGATGCAGTGTGTAAGCCACTTTTGCGGGGAGCCCCACGTGTACCCTGGCACATGGGTAGACACTCGGTAAATATTTGTTGACTGAACAAAGAAAAAATAACTTGAATCCAGTGAACAAAACCCACAGAGCAAAGAAAGCTATCAAAATTAAGATATACCAACAGCCATATCAGGTGCTAACGACAGTCCCCAATAAACGAAATAATTATTTGCTTTACCTGTGGATTACACGGGAATTTGGTCTATTAGAACACATACATAATTTACAAGCTAATGTAGAAGTGTTGAAAACAGTGCTTGAGGATATATGAATATATATAAAGGGAAGGTCAGGTGAAGAGCTAGAATTAGTATTTAGACCAGAGGTAGCTTTAAGGTTAATGTAAACAAACTGCAAAGGTGTTTCTATGATTGCCAGGGGCCCAGGGGAAATTTGCAGTTTGATCAGTTCCATGATGGTCGTCATCCTGGAGGAAAATCACTCTAGCCCTCTGGAGGTTGGGAACAGGAGAACACACTTTTTATAACCTCCTTTTTTCCCCAATGAAAGAGATTTCTTTGGAGGGACTATCCTTATTTTCTTCATGGCTCCTTGGGCAGCTTGGCAACCTTCCCAAACCCACAGCATTAGAAGGTCAGAGGTTCTGTTTCCTGGTTCTCCTCCCCTTTTCCCTGCAATTAAAAGATGAGTTATAACTGTGGTGTTTCTAAGGGCTGGAGTGGTGGTGGGAAGCCTGAAACCTGACGGTTCTGTCTCAAGGGGTCTGGACATCCCAACAGAGCCTCCTCTTGTTCAGTCCACAACAGCACCCCAAGGTGCAGAGTGAGCCACTCAGTCTCCCTCAAGCTTAGCTTGTTACTTCAGGGGCGGGCGTACAGGGGCCTTCTTCAAAGCCTAGCTAAGAAGAATCAGGTGAGCTTTGCCCAGCAGAGCCCGTGGTCCATGAATGATTCGCTCTGATGATGTTCTGGGATGACATGAGAATCTCTAAAGACGATGTGCATTTGAAAAATTCTCATAGGTGCAAGCGTGTGAATATTCTAGAGGCCCCAGAGAAGAGAGTGACCCTGTATACTAGTTTAAGAAACCAAAGAGAAGGAAGAATTGAATTCCCTTACTAATAATTTTCCCCTTGAATTTTATTTTTACGTGCCTGGAAACTTACTTGTGCCTTATCAATGGACTAAAGATGATTTCATAGCCTCTAATCTTTCTATCTGACATAGACAGGTATATAAAATTTAAAAGTGTATAGGCATATAATTTCCCAATGAATAGGACCTTTCCACACTTATGCAAGTTAAAAATGGGACAAGAAATTATAGATTTCATTGTCAAGAGTCAAGAATGCCTTAAAAGTTGACCCGTGTTGTGTTTCTCACCTTCATATTCTTTACCCTGAGATTTCGGGGTCACCTCTCAGTTGACTTTAATTACTCTCAGAGATTTCTCCGTGTAGATTCTCAGAGGGTTTGACTCCTGTCAAAATTCTGAGTTAAGAAAAATAGTAACTCAGATTGCAAGCGCTGTGGTGCCTGAGAAATGTCTCTTGGCTTCTCTAAGTCATTTAAACCAGATCCATCTGTTTGAGAGGGTCGTGAGAAATGCACAGCAGCTTCACAGGCCACTGCATGTGTGGTGGCTTCTGGGACAAAGTCACAGGACGACTGAAGTGTGTTTATTGTCTGTGCTCCTCCACATTGTCATCAGGGGGTGCGATTAATGTTTATTTTTTCTTTCTGGAAGAAAATATCCTCGTAGTACAAGGAATCTAAAATTAGAAATTCTGTATGTGTCTCATTATGGTTTGTGGGACAAGGGGACTAGAACAATGGTAGTTTAAAAATAAAGTTGCTTCGTTTGCTCTGGCACTGTCAGAAATATGGCTCCTCAGAGCAGTAAAAAAGGGGGTTGTAATTATGTGGTTGTAGCATACTAGCAAAAATATATCTACCCTTGACCATCTTAACTTGTAAAAGGTGAGCAGAATTATACAGAGAAACCTAGGATGTTTGCTTCTGTTTCAGATGTTCAGATTTACTAGTCCACGGACATTAAATTAGGAAGGTTTCAATAGCAATGCCTGTCTAGAGGTGATGCTAACTTGGCTGGTAGGGCATTCTGTGTTGAGCACTGGTTTATATTGTCACCAAGGATTTTTGTCTTTAAATGTTTGAAACTTAGGATAGTAACCCCAAGGGGAGTCCCTCAAGGCTGTAGTTTTTGCTCTCTGAAATACTAGTGCACAATCCTCCCCAGGAACTAACAAGGGGACCTTTATAGCAGCGTGGCACCAATGTATCATGTGTTGTATTATCTACATAGCATTTGTACTGAGCAATAATATGAAGGTGAACCTGCCGTTTGCTTTTCCTGGAGTATGGGGGGAGTGGAAGAAGTCCCGAGTTCAATGTGTAAGGGGTGGATTAAGTCCCGATTGAATGTGAGTTGTTGACTTGGGCATGGTGTGTCAAGGACTCCAATGCCTCAGACCCATGGGAGTGGCCAAACCTTCACAGGGCGAGGCTCAGAGACATGGCCAAACCACCCATCTTCTGGTGTAAGTCCAAGTGTTTACAAATGATTGACTACTCAGTTCAGAAATCATCAACCACAGCTTCCTCCTGGGGGGTGACTGCAGCCTGAGTCGGCTCCTCTACAGAGACTTCCTACCAAGATTAGCAAAATGCGCCTCCTTGTTCATCGGTTTACCATAAGCCAATCTTCTTATCCAGGAGGCTACACTCCCCCATTCAGATGTATAAAACAAACATGCGCCGAGGTACTAGGTTGCTGTTGCAGTTGGTGTCCCCCATCAGAGCAAGCACAATACCCCTGATCTCAGCTTTTCTTTATGTGTGTCTGTGTGTCTGTCCTGTCTTCATTCCCCACTCAACCTAGTTAAGGTCAATCTTGGAAGCTGTGCAGAGTGTAGCAGAAATATTTAGAATATTAGGTCAAACACAAAACACTTCTGTTACTTCAGCCCTTCATTTCTTAGAATTGTTATTCTTACTCCCATTTTTAAGGAAAGACACCAAGGCTCATGACACCTGTCAAGTTTAAATGACACCTGGTATGTATGCGGGGACATATATCCTAATCCAGAATGGTTGTGGTGGATTATTCCTTCTCAATGGCCACTTCTGGACATATGTACCACAAACAAGAGGGTCACAGAAGAACTTCCCATCACACTGTGAGGGAAGAGGGACACTATGACCTTTATGACTGTTCAGGCTTCGGTCTTCTTGGCTCTGTTCTTATGCTAGAAGGTATATAGCTGATGATGGCTGGGGACTCTGGACTTCTTTATCTAGATATCGACATAGATTGTTTCCACGCCCTGGGGTTGACCTGCTCATGTGATTCTTTGGAGTATGAGCTGAGCAAGTGGCTTGGGGGACGCTCGTTTTCACATTGCTGTGACTAGTCCTGTGCCTGTATAAAGTCAGTATTTGTTGAGTCTTGTTGGATAGACTGAGAGCCTTTGTGACATTTATGTCTATGTCACAGTCAGAGTATCCTTAGCAGTGGACATCACTGAAGACATGAAAACAACGTGGGGGGAATGGTAGTTACTACTCACCCAGAATGAGGAACTCAGCTAAGGAAGAGTCATTATTTGCTTGTAAACAAGTCGGACTCATAGATTTGACCTTCCTAATTGTCTCTCCCAGGCTGAATTTAGACCTTTAGACATGCAATAACAAATGGATGTTTTCCATCTGGTAGTGTTTCTCAGCTGTGAGTCCAGTTCTGGCAGCGCCCTCTCTGTTAATCTTTATAGAGTTGGGGTTTTTTTTTGCAATCATTTGAGTTTTATTGCATTTCTGAATTTACTTGATAAAATTCGTGGAATGGAAAACGAAAGCACAAGAGTGCTGATTTTAGTGATAAGTAGCTTGGGTTCATCAACTTAATTCAATTTAGAAAAAGATGGAAATAATCAAGATGCCCAAAATGAGGACATTTTAGCCTTAATTGGACATATTGACTTTAAGCCAGTTGACTGTGATTTCATTGCCGAAGCAAAGAACACAATTTTAGAACATGTGTAAACTTTTAGAAATCTACGAGGAAGGTTGTTTTCTAAACAGAATATAAATTTCATCATTTTTGTAGTACACTTATTACTCTATGGAGACCCGCTTAGGGGATACGTCATAATGACGTACCATCTTTAAACTTTGATTTTTTTTTTTTTGTACAATGCTTTATGTAGAGCAACCTAGAACTTCATGTTTTCTTAGTCTCCAAATAATTCTTCCACGTAGGCAGACTCTTTACCAGCATAGAGAACCCATCTCCTTACAAAGTGGCAAAGTGATGTGTACTAGTTGGTTGGACTGTTAGAACCAAGAGCCACAGGTTCTTAGCTTAAGCGACACAAATTGATTTTCCCACAAGTCTGGAGGCTGCAAGCCAAAGATCAAGTTGTTGGCAAACTTTCTGAGGCCTGTGGACTCATATCTGTGTCACGATATCTTCATCTGAAAACACTGGTTATATTGGGTTAGAGCAAGCTAGATGACTTCATTTTGTCTTAGTTACCTTTAGTTTTCTTTTCTTTTTTCATGTTTGTTTTGTGTGGGGAGGAGGCACACAGGTCATAGCAGGCACATGGAGGTCAGAGGACAATGTGGTTGCTTTCCTTCCCCCATGTGCATCCAGGGGATTAAACTCAGCTCATCGGGCTTGCCAAGAAGAATCCTTATCCACCGAGCCATCTCTCTGGTTCCCGTAATAGTGTAGTTACCTTTAAAGGTCCTACTTCCCAATGCAGTCATAATCTGGGCCTCCAAGGGTTAGGACTTCAAATTATAAAATTTAGGGGCATAATATTCAAATGATATGATCCAAACTTAGTGATTTAAACTGTTTCAAAGAAGTGATACGACAGAATGCAGATGGCAAAGAAGAATGTCACAGTTAGGAGACCGGGGTAGGAACAGGTGTTCCAAAGCACCAGAAAGAAAATCAGTCCAGGGAGACAAGATGCTTCTTTCTTTGAAGCGATGGTTTGCTTTCTCCACCACAAATAGAGTGTAATAAAACAAAACAACAGAACAGGAATCCTGTGTCACTAAGCAATGTGGCTCTAGTCTGAGGTTGGGAAACTAGGCCAGGCACATCTGAGCACTCTGGGAAGCTGTATAGTGACTGCTCTGAGGCAAAATGGCGAAGGCCTCTGGAGAGCTTTAATCACCCTAATCAGGTCATCCCCGGGACCAAAGGGGTCTGGTTCCACATCTTCAAAGGCACTGAACTACTTTCTGCACTTGCAGGCTGAAAGGGTTATGAAATCAGTTGCACAGAGAGACAGAATTAATGCCACTTGATTGAGCTAAGATCATCATATTCTAAAAAGCAATTAAAATTATTCTGACCTTTTGAAAAGTAAATCACCAATTTTTTTCTGTTACATTTGAATCAGAGGGAAGGCAAATAGTGAATTTAATAAGTATGAATGAGTTATGTCATTAAAGAACCTCTGGGAGATTTTAATATATTATTTTCTTTCAAGGGTAATTTAACAGCCACAGAAGTCCAGATTTTCACATTTCCTTTTATGTTGAAGAAGATTGGCGTTTCATGTACGAAGTATACCACTAAGCATATATATTCACGTATCTTAGCCCAGATTTCATTAATCGCATTTCTCCCGAGTGTTCGTATGATCATTTGTCCTGGCTCTTGAGTTGTCTACACAGCAAAACATGACAATAAGCAGAATGACCTCTGAGCCGCAGAAGCATTGGCTGGATTGGCTGGGTACTCGCCTGTTAGACTCTGAATCCGAGCAGAATCCTTGAGTTGTCCGTCAGGGCCAATAGACTGATTTCTTATGACCTTAAAAAGCCCGGCATTGGACATACAGGTTAGAAAAGAGCTTGACAAGAATAGGAACAAAGGAAGCAGACAAGGAGGACAGAGAGAAGGGAAAGGGGACAGGAAGTGCATTAAGAAAACACTCGATTTCTGTCAGCCTTGATGGACCCTAGAATGTGGAGGGCCGTGCGAGTATACAGCAGGTGACAACTGATGCTTGACAAGTCGACCCACCAGATACATAATTCCCTGATGGGGAGCCCTACCTGGCAAGGCTGTGGGGTCACTGGCTGTGGAAACCAGTTGTTTTCTGTCTGTAACTTTCTCATGTGCCACTGTAGAAGGGCCCCTGAAACAGCTTGACCCCACAGCTGCCATGACAGGCTTAGAGGCCCAGACACAGCTTCTGGCAGGTAACACCTGGACCCAGGAGGAGCCATAAGCTGACCCCACCCAGTGGGACCTGCATCTAAGAGGAAATGCCTGACGTTCCAAACATTCCCCATACCCCTAGACAAATGTCAGCCAATCAGGGTCCTGAACCCTGGAAATCCCCTCACCCCAACGTCCGCTACGATAAAACCCCCCACCCTGCCTGGGCTCATGGATCTCTGCTCTCACCACTGCATCAGACAGACAGAGAGACCAAGCTCAGAGCTTGAAGATAATAAAGGCTTTTTGCTTTTACATGTGGGATTTGGTCTCCATTCGGTATCTGTGGTGGTCTTTTGGGGGTTCCCCACAATCTGGCCATAACACCACCATTATACCTCCCTATAAGAACAGCTGTTGGGTGCTTTCCATGGCTTTCCATGGCCATGTAATGTATTTTACATCTCTGGACACACATTTAGCTGTGGATTTCTGTTTAAGCTGTATAATTCTGATGAACAGAAATATTACCAGAATATTATTCTTTACTGACACAGGAAAGCAGCAGTATTCTCAGTCTCAAAGACAGCCTTTTACACATTTTGCAAAGACCTTAGAACTAGTCCAATGCAGACTAGCTGCGCCTACAGAATATAAGCAAAGACTAATTCCCAGGTGTTGGTTATTACTGAATCAAGGCCAGGCTGTTTACCTCAAGACATAGTCCTTGCAGTAGCTCCCTTTCTGCAGGTACCCTGATGCTCAAGGTTCAGCTAATTGTTGACTGGCTGTGTGGAGCTATGTGAGAACTCATAGCCGCATTCCTGCTGAGCTCCTCCTGGCCTGGCTCTAGAGAGCAGCACCCAGCCCTAATCCATCCTTTGTTTAACCAATGCCTTTTGTTTCTCTTGTGAATCTTGTCTCAGAGTCTCCTAGGGATACAAGGCCCATGCAAAACTTGGCTCAGGAAACCTGGCAAACCGTGGTACCTGATACATTGAGGAATTTGCATTTGGCACTGTATTTTGGGGAACTCCTTTCAGGTTGGTTTGAGCCTATGGAAATTAACTGGCTAACGTGCAAATCATGAGAAAAGTAAAAAATGCCCCCGGGGCAAAGGAAAAAGGGGTCAGTCCCTAGAGCCTTGAGTCCAGAGAAGCTGCATTGTTAAGGTGTCTCTGAGGCTTCTTTCCATGGATCCATGTGAACCCACACACCTGTGCTGCGACACTTTGAGACAAGAGCTGCTGCAGAATGTGAG